TTCGAGGTCAATTTACCCGGAATCAATCTCTAGCACGTAGGTCTTCGTAGTTTAGTGTAGACGTCGTCTTTAGGATTTTCCTTAAGTGGATACCCAACACCGTAGCATGGACTCAACCTTTTGACTCGACCTAAATCATCACAAATTCAAATAAAATTGACTTGGCGCAAATTTGATTTAACAAATGACAACTTCGATTAAATCTAAATTAAATTCATTTCAAACCTATTAAAATCAAATCAACATTAATTCAGATAAATTGATTAAATCAACCTTTTCAAATCAATAAAATAAAATTAAAATAAATATTCATTAAACTTGATATTAAGTAAATTTAATTTGATTAAATCGATTATAATTATGATTAGAATAATCAATTCAAATTATTTTTAAATCAATCCATATATTGTAGTCATCGATTTAGTCATCAATTTGAATCAAGCAGTTTTAGATTCCATTAGAGCGGTTCAGACTCCCACAATCTCCCACTCCCCTGTATTCGCGAAAGCAGCCTCGTCTTCTGGGCAGTTCGTGAAAAACCTCCTGGCTTCGCCTCCTCCCAGTTCGCAAGGCTCCCCGCTCTCTCTCGGTTCGCAAGAATTCCCCAGGAGGAACCGTCTCCGGTTGGCTAGGGGCTCCAGGCGGAAACCACTTGGTAAGAACGTCTTCCCCAGCCCGTCTACCTTTGCTTTGCACGAACCCAAGGTCAGCCGTATCTCTCTCTCTCTGGTCTCCGACGTCTCTCGATCCACCAACCCTAGGACCGAGCCCCAGCCCGTTTCCCACTCTCAGTTTCGCTCCAAGGGAGCCAGCTTGAAGCCGATCTTTCTCCCCGACCGACTCTTGCCCTAGGTCGCCGTTTCCAACAGCCGATCTCCACTCTCCCATAGGATTGAAACAGAACCGAAACCCCTAGGAAGCTGTAGCCTTGCTCTCTTCTTCCTCTAGTTGACAAGGAACTTCATTGCTATAAAGGTAACGATATCCCTCTCTTTGCTTTCTTTTTACTCAAAATATGAGAAGATGATCATAGGGATGTCATGGCTTGCTTAATAATTACTGTGTGTAGTGATAAAACATATTGTGCTGAAACTTCCTAATAGATCTCTCATTCTAAAGGCCAGCATGTTGTCTGATTTGATCGCTTTGAGTTTGGGCTTGAAAAGTTCTTTGATTGATTTATAATTTTTTGTGCATGTAAGAAGGTAAAAAAATTCGTGGAAGCAACGAATTGATGTGATAATGATAAGATTGAGCTTTCTCTCCACTTTGCTGCGTCTCGTTGGATATGGGTTTGCTTGCTGAATTGGTCATAAGATCTGATGACTATGAGTTCTTAAGCAAATAGCTATATGCATTTGATGGAGTTCGAGTTTGTTGTATATAGTATTTCAAAATTCAGTATATATGTCCATGTCTTCATGGAAATACATCTTAGCCTCAAGAAATTATGATTAATGATAATATCCTTATGCACTTTCTTGAATCTTAAATATTACACCATGACTTGATATCATGTTATGTGAAGGTTTGATGTGTATTTTGAAAAGTGGAGACTTGAGTGTATCTTGAAAAGTGAAAACTGAAAAGTATCGAGGTTTTGGAAAGGAAATGAAAATATATGTGTTGAGTGAATGAAAATTGAAAATGTTGACGTTGAAAGAAAGTGTTTTGAAAAGCGCTTGCGTTAAAAAGAGAAATGTTTTGAAAAGTGATCGTGTGGGAAAATGAGATGTTTTGAAAAGTTCTTATATTGAAAGTGAGGTACGTAGGTTGAATGGTATATGATTGTTTGAAATTGGAGTATTTGTGAATGGTATATGTGTTGGGAAGAGTTGTGGAAGTGAAATGTGTAAAAGTGTGTTAGGAAAGTGTTGTGTGTAGGTATGAAATGTGAAGTGCATGTGAAATGCAGAAATGTTTAAAAGTCAAAGTAAAGTGTATTTGTGTTAAAATTTGAATTGTAGGTATTGAAAGTTGGAGCGCTTAAAAGGTGCATTGAATTTTGAAGCGTGTAAAAGGGTTTTAAAAGGTGAAGTTTGTGTATGTGAATGGTGAAGCGTATGGATGATTGTGAAAAGTGAATCATGTGTGTGTGAAAAGTGGATTGTGTGTAAGACTGGGAAGTGTGTCTCTTGAAAGTGCTCCTTATGTGTAGATCAATATATATGTGGTATTGCTCTACTTCTCTCCTGGACCATGATGAGAAGCTTCTATTAATATCTTCACAGAAGTCTTATCTTTGAAATAGATTTTGGCTAACCGGGTTCGTTTTGAAATAGATTTTGGCTTCCAAGGCGCGGTTGGAGGAGAGCTTCAAGACAGGGAAGAACATATGGTTCTTCACGAAGCTGAGGTTCTAGGTAAAATGGAAGAGTCTTTAATGCTCGGAGTTTGCTCTTGTAGTAATCCATCAGTACAATTTTGTTTTTTGTGTTAGTGTTATGGCTCTGGTGCTGGTTGCCTTACATGATTTTAATATTTATGTTCCCAATTCTTAATGATGCTGTGAGACGAATACTCTATGTTGTTTAATTTAGCTGTTTAAATACATTGAATGTTTCCTTACATTGAGTGTTTTGTTTCATCGAGCTTTCTTTGAGTTTTGATTGTCAATACTGTACTTTATTTAATTCGTCGTACATAGCATCATTATTGTTGGAGGAAATTAAATACTTGTCTCAATCGTTATGCTTATTTATCAAAATATCAGACTACTGGAGGAAAAATCATGTTTCATACAGCTTATGCAATAGAAGTTTATTCAAATCATGCTATTTTTGCAGTTTTCTGAAGATTGGGGAAAAATACGACGTGTACTTTAGGCCTGGAACAACCTACACTCTTAGGGTATGAGGAATTTTATTATTAGTAAACATGAATACTTTATTTTCTATTCTTCTCATTTCATAGATTGTTGTTTACACGCTCTCTTTAGTCTCTTTTAAATAGTTTTCTATCATGTTTGGTGGCTGCTAGGTGTGAAATAACTTATTTTTAATGTAATATCTAATCATGGTCATCATTACCTCATAACTATCTGGTCTTACTTTCTAAATCCTCATTTTTTGGTTGTTCCTACGGAGTATTGCTTGAAATGTTAAGCATTTTCTTTGCCAATTATTTAAACAGCTTCGATCCATGCTACTTTAGTTCTAAATTTTTCTTTCCTAATTATTTGGCGCTAATTATTTCATTCAAACCATGCCTCTATTATAATCATTTTTAATTTATTAAGAACAAGCCGTGCACAAAAATCTATAACTTTGTTGCATTACCTTGGTGTATGATGAAATATTATTTAGGGGCTGTTTGGTTGCCTGAATTAGGAGTGTAAAGCAAAACAAATACAGGTATTTATTAAATTGAGTTGTTTTGCGGGAATTAGAAACCCGCTCAATATGAGCGGGTTACAAATATTTCATTACTTCTAGGTGAGGTGCTTTATGTTTCAACGATATGCTATCTTTTTCTTATTTCATTACTTTTTCTTTAAACTGATTTGTCACTATCTACAAGAACGGATGCTAGATCAATTATTTGATGCAAGGGAATTAGTTCATGATCTAATTGAAATCACTGAAAGCAAATAATTAGAAGAAAATCAATACACAAAAACATGTAGAGTTTTTATTCAGGTCCGCCTCATTGTGTCTACTTCTTGTTTATGTACTTTAGTTTCAACTATGATGAAGATGGTGAAGTTTTTGCTAGAGATATGCACAGTGTAATGCATTCTCTACATTTTTTTTTAATCTATTGTGTTGAAACTCTAATAATGACACCACCTTTTTATAATGAAAATAGAAGGAAACTGAAATTATATGTGACTAACCTTGTAGCTACAAAAATGTACAAAAATTTAATGTTTAGATTTTGTGTTATTTTGTTCTAATTATAACTACGAACTATGGGTATACTTTTATCTTTTGTTTTTTAATTGTACATTTGCACTGAATTTCTTATACATCCCCGCATGATTTGCTCTCGCAGTTGTATGAATTTGGCTGTGAATTTGGTGCAATTATTGATTGTTTGTGGCTTGGTGCTTATTATTATCTTTTGTTTTTTGTAATCAATTAGTAAGTTTTCTAGCATTTGCTTATAGTTTTCAGCTAAAGGTGATCATTGAAGGATTGGGGTGGTTTTCGTTAATTTAATAAATGCTAGCTCGGTCAATTTCCCTGTATGGATAGCTGCAGCAGTCATGTCATTAAGTTCAATCCTTAGGAAAGTAGGGTCATTGATCATAAGTAGAACTTTCAGCATATATGTGTGCCTGAATGTGTTGGAGGTTCTTGGTAGCTTGTGTTGCATGGATGCTACCTGACTTGGAAGGTGATTTAGGAATTCCATCACAGAGGAGCCTTGATGCTATGGATGTTACAACTTCTCCCACTCCCACACGTCTTCCAATTTCTGCACGCTAGGTCATGTATGAGCTTCGTGTCTACTCACTTGAAGAGGCAACGTAAGCCTTCAAAACTTTCCTGCTTGATTTATTTTATAAAAAGTAATTGCTTGTCTCTCTCGATCATGCCACAAAGCAAGTTTTTTTTATTTTATAAATCTTGACTCTATTTTATTTCTTTTATGAGGTCGTGAGCAATATTATGGAAGTTGGAAGTTATTTTCAGCTACTGAATACTCAATTTGGTTATGTATGCCAGTTTTTATTTCTTTGTGTTGGTGAGGCATCAAGAAGGTTTAAAAAAGACAACCACTGCTGCAAAGTATTTATTTTATGAGAATTTGACTTTTTTATTAAGAATTAGACAATAAGAGATGGTTTTATTTTCAATGTATTTTTTACGTAGCCTTACATATTTCTTGGATGTTTGCTTATAGGAATAACTTATGTATTTTTGTAACTTCTGACATAGTATCAAATTGCATTTGCTCATTTCATATGGATGATTTAAAATCCATATATCAAATACTATTGCTTTTGAAACAGGATGATTTGGGAGAGGGTACTAATACTGATCTGGATGCTTATGTTATTCAAAGCATCATGAAGAACAATACCTACATATCTACTGCAGACAAGGTAAATTTAGCAACCTAACATTTATTTCAGTTATTAATTCTAACTGAAAATAGTTATGTTTCCTAGGTTGAGGCATTATTTGACTTAATAAAAGGGCTTATCAAGGATATGGATGAGATTCAAGATGAGGACGATTTCAAGGAGGGGAAAAATTCGGTTGCTTGCCTCATTCACATGCTGTACAATGATGATCCAGAGGAGATGCTGGAGGTAGGTACATTTTCTTTGATTTCTTGTATGCATGTTTGGGCTTTTTTAGCTTGTATATGCATAATTGTCATGTTGATGTAGACCAACATTAGAACGATTTATCATTACATGACTCATTAGAGGGGTTCCTTCTTGTCAGCTCACATTGAACTAGATCCATATCATCTTAGAGTTTTTTTTCAAGGTATATTTGATTCCTTTATGCGTTTAAATATTGGCTGATTGAATGTTCCTGGAAGCAGCTTTTGTGAAAATTAAGCATTTAATATCACAAGGGCAAGGATCATATCTCAAACTAATTGATCTTATTTAACTTCATGAGTCATGACTTACCAATTATTATTCAAGTTTTAGGAAATTTCATAAATGTCCTTGTAAGTATGTTGTTATGTTTTTTAAGAAGTAAAATAGTAATATCATTGTATTGGACTATATTTCCATGCGCCTTGCTCATGAAGCATTAATATGATGGTTAAAAGTTGTCCCCCCCCCCTCCGGTTTAATAATCTGTGGTTGACCTCCGCGACTAGAGTGTAACAATTATCTTTTACATCAAATTTTACAGGGGGATAGTGTTTTTCACCAGAAAAATTTTGTTAATAAGGTTACTGCTTCCATTATTTCCGCTTTTCTCTTAGAACTTCTATTTTTCTCCACAAAATACCCTTAGTGTGGGTGTCATTTTTCCTTTTTCTGAAAAACTTCTTATCTTTTAAGACAAACCTATGCAGGAAGGGAATTGATTGATCTGTGATTAAAGGATACTGGAACCCTCAAAGCTGCAACACAATTTCGAAGGGAGTGCTTTTCTCTTCCGAATGCACAAGCTTTGTTAAATGTGATTATAGGTTGATGTTGTCATTTACCTTTGATAGAGCTGAGTTTGTAATTTTATATTTATTTGCATAAAAGTTAATGAAAGATTTTTATGTTAACTAGATGTTATTATTTTTTAAACATTAAGATTTAATGATTAATGATTTATGAGATCGCATTTTTTATGTTAATTGATGGATGTATTTGTAAAAGCATATGAATGAATATAATTTTCATTTTCTCCTAGTAAATTCTTGACAATGATACTGAGATTGAATATATTTTTTTTGGATTTTTATGCTTTTTATTATTGATACCTCAAGCTCATAAAATGTGTTATTTATATATTATGAAATTTATCTAAGTAATTGCAATTTAAATGAGTGATGGATTGATCTTAATTGTTATAACTAAGGAATAATAATTGGATAATAAATTTTTTTACAAATTAAATATCATAACTTTTATATCCACAACTATATACCAAAACTTCATGAAATTAATGGGGCATGTGATTTATTAGGTTGATTATTTTGCGACCAATTTTTATTTTGGTCGCTAAAGGGAAATTGTAATTAATAAAATTAATTATTAAAATTACTAAATAGCATCCAAATAAATATTCATTAGCGTCCAAAAAGATGGTTGCTAATATGTCCAATTATAGCGACCAATATTAATTAGTGGTCGCTAATTTAGCAACCAAAAAAAATTTTGGTCGCTAAAAGCCTCAGCGACGAGGCTACTGCGACAAATCAGCGACCCAAATATTTTTGGTCGCTATTTGCTTTAGCGTCAAAATAAACATTTTTAGCGACCAATTTTGTTGGTCACTAATTACCTATTTTCTTGTAGTGATAGTAGAAAAACCATCCGGCCTAGCCATAGAGTCACCATTCAATCCACAAAAAATCTCTTTAATTTTCTCTAAGGAAGGGGGTTTAGAGAGGAAATCATTATCCTCTTGAGAGATGAGAATAGGGATAATAAAGAGATTATCTATATGTCCAGGAGTAAAATCTTTATTGAGATAGTTTTGAAAGTGCTGAACCGCCAAATTAGCAATTTCCTCAACATCCTTAATAACATAACCATCATCGGGATTGATTTTATTAATGGAGTTTTTGGCACGTTTCCAATTAACTAAAGCATGAAAATAGTTGGTTTTATTATCTCCTTCAATAAGGTGCTTCACAACCACTTTTTTTTTTCCAAAAGGCTCCCCCCTGAGCTTGTAATTTAAAGAGACTATATTTAGCCTCCCTAAGCAAACTGAAATTTTCATCATAAGGAATAATTGACAGTTAAGCTCAATAGTGTTCACTTTGTTTTCAGTATTCAAGATATTTGTAAAAATATTTTTAAAAACATTATCATTCCACCAATTGATGATTTATTTAAGTCTTTTCTGTTTAAACCAAAATTCCTTCATGCCATGAACATAATTATCAGGGTGCAAGGGGGCATGCCAAATTTCTTGAACCATGTCTAGAAACGAATCATGAAGTAACCACTTGTTTTGAAATCCTAAATGTGGCAAGGAAATTATATGCCTAATCTTGAGGCTAATTAACATAGGAGAATGATCAGAAAGAGCTCTGCTAAAATGCTCAATAGAAATAGAATCAAAAGAGTTATGCCAACTATCATTAAATAATACTTGATCCAACCATTGCCATAAATGACCATGGTTCCAAGTGAATTTGTTGCCAGAGAAACCAGTGTCAACTAAATTACAATTCATAATCATATTATTAAAATCATCCACAGAGTGATAGATAGGAGTAGAGCCCCCAATATAGTCAGAAGGAATATAAATAGTGTTAAAATCACCACCCACAAGCTAGGGCAAGTTAGAAATACTATAAAATTAGTGATTTGCTCCCCTAACACTTTTTGAGTATTACGAGAAGAAGCAGCATAGATAAAAGAGGCACAACAGTTCAAATTTAAAAATTTAATATTACAATGCATGACTTGAGTGAAATCTCTAATAACATCAATTCGAATAGGGTCCTTCCATAACACACAAATCTTATTGGCAGAATTCAAAATAGAATGCTTAAAGCCTAGAAATCTAGCAGTATTAAGTAATTTAGAAGCACAAATAAGAGGTTCAAGCAAAACAAGAATAAAGACATTATAAATACAACATAAGTTCTTATCCCTTAACCTAGAAGAGGGGCATCCAGTGCCCCTAACATTCCAAATAATAGATTTAAACATAAAAAAGGTGTTAATGACTAGTTTGAGAATTGGTCATCCTAAGAGATTATAAAATAAAGCTCTTATTTTTCCTACCTCTCCTATTTTAAAACTTGGTATAGCTAGTGTCATTATCATCTTTGGCAACACATTGAGCAACAATATCCATATCCTTCGTATCAATAAAAGCATTACTATGATAATGAGAATTAAAGGGAAGCTTATTGTCATTATGCATGCCCAAATTCCTTACCTTTTGAGGCAATTCACCCTCCAAAAAAATAAAACCTTCCTCCACACTTTCTTCACTACTCATAACTAACCCAACATTTCCTTCCACAATGGCTTGGCCATCCTCCTCCTGAGCCAATTCACCCTCCTCTAGGGTATAGCCATTCCCCAAATTTTCTTTACTATTCAAATAAATACCAGCATTAACTTCCACCACATTCTCTTGATCATTTATAACATATTGAGAAGTAATAATATTAGAACAATTCTTAAAGAACATCATAAAATCCACATCAAGAAATTTTTTGTTAATAATGCATGTAATAGAAGATGAAATAACATTATTTTGATAAGTAGTAATAGACAACATTTGCTCATCCATATTTTCATAACCAGTAGACAAGATAGAGATAGAGTTAATATTATCTCCTTGTAAACAAATAGGAACATCAACATTGGGGAAGGGCGGTTTAATATGAACACTTGGAGATTATATTAGGTCCTCAAAATTATCATGCGGTTTACGAATATTTCCCTCAACCTCTCCAAGATTAGGAATCTCATGATCATGAGAAGCCAAAATAATCACATTTTCTTGGGATTGTTTGGAACAATTCTTCTCCTAATAAAGATGTGGATGCAACCTGTAACGGTCATTTAAACTAGGCACGGGCGAGCAGCGGGCAGAGGCGGGATTCGAAATTTTTCAAATTAAACGGGTTGGCGGGTTGACCCGGCGACCCGCCGGGTCAACCCGAACCCGACCCATTTTTTAAACGGGTCAATTTCTGGAACCCGAACCCTATCCGTTTTGAAATCGGGTCGGGTTCAACCCGAATTTTCCGGGTCGGGTCCGGGTCGGGTTTTCGTGTCTTGTCAAATATTGACACCCCTAATTTAAACCATGGCCATGCATTTTAAAGTGAGTACAAAAAATGTGCAAAATTTCAATATCAACATTTTGGAAATAACCATTCAACTCTGACGCAATCCAGATCTCATTAAGATGTTTCTTAAAAACATATAACTTGACTAAAACATGCGCCACAAATGGACAAGAAATAGATGCAGTAGCTTGGTCCGTTTGCAGAGGCTTACCAAAAATTGATGTCACACCACATAAAATTTGTGAATTAAAGAAATGAAGTCTATGATTCGAAAATGAGATCCACATAGGAGCAATAGGGGATTCCTCCAAAACATCAAAATTTGGTGTCCATTTGAGTAAATGCATCTATCATGCTTGAATATAGTAAGATTTCCTTGAAAGCAATTGACTATAATCAAGATTATTAGAAAGTTGAATTGCAATATGCCTCTGATCCGACAAATCAATATGAAAGAATCTTGAAAGTTTCAGGTTAACAAAAAATTTGCAAATAACATATAGATTTGGTCGTTAAAGATGGAATTTGCCAACTAACGTTAAAGTGAATGGAGAGGCCAGTTGAGAAATCACAAAATCCTCAAACATAAAAGCAGGAAAACTTTTAAATGAAGTTTGAACAAAATGAAGTTTAGAAGGAGAAAAAGAATATCCAGCCAAAACATCCTTAAAGATCGAGATTTGCCATTAGGATATGAAGAAAATTAAAGGATGGATGACGATAGACTAAAGCTGGAAAACTAAAATGAACCTCAAAACAAAGAACAAAACAAGCTAAGAAACGAACAAGGAAATATATCAAAGATAAAAATGCAAAAAAAACACACCAGGAGAGCAGAACCAACAGCTCATGAGAGGAAACCCTAAATTGCTAAGGAGACCCTTTAGACCCTTAAGGGGCCTATTTGGTCAATTTAGGTTGACTTGGGTAAACAAGTTGACCCAAGGGATTTGACTGGGCTCAATAGGCACTGCTTAATATTTGAAGTATATTGGAGGTGGTCTCAATGGCTAGAAAAGTTATTTCAATCAAATTAACTGTTTGAACCCTTAAGGTGTTGCTTGGTCAACCTAGGTTGACTTGGTCAGCCAAGTTGACCTAGGGCCTAGGTTTGGATCCAAAATGTTTGAAATGATGTTTTGGGTTGAAAGGAAGTGATCCCATGCAAGGATGAGGCTAATTGGATTGAAATGGCAATTCAAACCCCCATTGGTCATTTTTGGTCAAAATAGGTTGACTTCATCAACCAAGCTTGACCACAGTCTAGGTTTGAGTCTAATGCATCCCTAATGATATTTATAACTCATTTGAAGAAATTTTATGGTTTTATTTGATTGAGTCATGTTGAAGTTTGGAGGAAACTTCAATTTTTCTCTTTAGGGGTTTTTTGGTCATTTTGACCCCTAGTCAACTAGGGGTCAAAGTGGGTTGAAAAAAATATAGTTTAGAGCACAACTATCATAATATAGGGTATGGATATGATTACAGGTCTTGGGGAAATTCCTAAGGTCAAAATCCACATGGTGGAGGGTCTAGTGGCATAGGTCATAAATATTTGAAGGTTTTACATCCTTTGAAAATTGTTTTTGAGGTTAGAGACCTAAAATTGAGCTCAAATTTTGAGGGTTGAGCCTATAGACATGCATAATTAATATTAAATTGATATATCATGAATTAGGGTTTATTTGAATAGGTTTAAAGTGTTTGAAAAATCATTGAAAAAGGTTTCCAAGACATGCCTTTAGCTCTAGATTTTGGTCAATATTTTTGGTTTGAGATGGATTCCAAATTTTATTTATTAATTTTTAAATATTCATATCAATAGAAATGTATTGGATGATTATTAGTGAATGGA